GTTTCCATCCTCATGTCAAACAAAGTAGATTTCAAACCAAAGTTAGAAAGGATAAAGAAGGACATTTCATATTGCTTAAGGGAATCATACATCAAGAAGATATAACAATCAAATATTTATGCCCCAAACAATGGAGCATCTACATACCTCAAACAAACCCTTCTCAATTTCAAGAATCACATCACAATATAGTAATAATGGTTGACTTTAACACTCCTCTCACCGCTAGAATCTTCCAAACAGAAAACAAATAAACTATAGAACTAAATAACACAATCAATGATTTAGATTTAATGGACATATATAGAGTATTTCATCCATCATGGAGTGAATACACCTCCTCAGCAGCACATGTATCCTTTTCTAAAATAGACCCTATGTTTTGCCACAAAGAAACACTCGGCAAATATAAAAAAAAAAAAAAAAAAAAGATACTACCCTGCATTCTAACAGATCATAATGGGATGAAATTAGAAATCAATGATAAAATAAAAAATAGAAGCTACTCCAACATTTGGAGACTAAATAATATGCTATTGAATGAACAATAGATAGCAGAAGATATCAGGAAGGAGATAAAAATTTCCTAGAGGTAAATGAGAATACCGATATATCGACATCTCTAGGACACTAAGAAGGCAGTGCTAAGAGGAAAGTTCATTGCATTGAGCTCATTTGTTAAAAGAATAAAAAGTGAACAAATAAATGACCTAGCATTACATCCCAGAGCCCTACAAAAAGAACAAATCAATATCAAAGAAGTAGAATACAGGAAATAACTAAAATCAGAGCTGAAATCAATGAAAATGAAAAAAAAAAAAACAATTGAAAAAACTGACAAAGCAAAAAGTTGGTTCTTTGAAAAAATGACTAAAATTGATAAATGCTTAGCCATGCTAATGAAGAGAAGGAGAAAGAAAACTCAAATTACTAAAATTTGTGATGAAAAAGGAAATATCATGGTGGACACTATTGAAATACAGAAGATAATTAGAAACTATTTTGAAAATTTATACTCCAATAAAATAGAAAATCTCGAAGACATCGACAAATTTCTAGAGGCATATGATCTGCTCAAACTGAATCAGGAGGGCATACACAATTTAAACAGATAAATATCAAGCAACCAAAAGCCTACCAACAAAGAAAAGCCCAGGACCAGATGGATTCTCAGTTGAGTTCTACAAGACCTTCAAAGAACTACTAATGCCAATACTCCTCAAATTATTCCATGGAATAGAAAAGGAGGGAACCCTTCCAAACTCCATCCTGATACCAAAACCAAAGACACATCAAGAAAAGAAACCTTCAGACCAAAATCCCTGATAATATAGATGCAGAAATTCTCACTAAAATTCTGGCAAATTGCATACAAAAACATATTTAAAAGATAGTGCACCACCAAGTGGGGTTCATTCCTGGGATGCAAGGTTGGTTCAACATATGGAAATCAGTAGATGTAATACATCACATCAATAGACTTAAAAACAAGAATCATATGATTATCTCAATAGATGCAGAAAAAGCATTTGACAAAATACAGCACCTCTTCATGTTCAAAACACTAGAAAAACTAGGGATATTAGGAACATACTATTGTAAAACCTATCTATGCTAAGCCCAAGGCCAACATCATTTTAAATGGAGAAAAATTGAAAGCATTCCCTCTAAAAACTGGAACAAGACAGGGATGCCCTCTTTTACCACTTCTATTCAACATACTCCTTGAAACTCTAGCCAGAGCAATCAGACAGATGAAACTAAAGGGATACAAATAGGAAAAGAAGAACTCAAACTATCACTATTTGCCAATGACATGATTATTTGTTTAGAAGATCCAGAAAATTCCACTAGAAAACTTCTGGAATAAATGAATTCAGCAAAGTGGCAGAATATAAAATCAATACCCATAAATCAAACTCATTTCTACATGTAAGTGATGAATCCACTGAAAAATAATTTAGAAAAACTACCCCAATCACAATAGCCTCAAAAATAAAATACTTGGGAATCAATCTAACAAGAGAGATGAAAGACCTCCGGAGTGAAAACTACAGAACACTAAAGAAAGAATTTAAAGAAGACCTTAGAAGATGGAAAGATCTCCCATGCTCTTAGATAAGCAGAATTAATATTGTCAAAATGGCCATACTACCAATTATACAGATTTAATGCAAATTCTTTTAAAATCCCAATGACATCCTTCATAGAACTAGAAGAAGCAATCATGAAATTCATTTGAAAAAATAAGAGACCCAGAATAGTCAAAGCAATCGTTAGCAAGAAAAGTGAAGCAAGAGGCATCACAATATCAGACCTTAAACTATATGCTACAGAGCAACAGTAACAAAAACCACATGGTGTTGGCACCAAAATAGACATGTAGACCAATGGTACAGAATAGAAGACACAGAGACAAACCCACATAAATACAATTATCTCATACTAGACAAAGGCACCGAAAACATACATTGGAGAAAAGATAGCCTCTTCAACAAATGGTGCTGGGAAAATTGGAAATCCATATGTAGCAAATGAAACTAAACCCCTGTCTCTCATGCTGCACAAAACTCAAAATGGATCAAGGACCTAGGAATTAGACCAGAGACCCTGCGTCTACTAGTGGAAAAAGTGGGCCCAAATCTTCATCAGGCCAAATTAGGCACCGACTTCCTTAACAAGACTCCTAAAGCACAAGAAGTTAAATTAAGAATAAATGGGATTGGATTCAAACTAAAAAGTTTCTTCTCAGCCAAGAAAACAACGTGAAGAGAGAGCCTACAGAACAGGAAAAAAATCCATACCGCATGCACATCAGATAGAGCACTAATCTCCAGGATACATAAAAAACTCAAAACACACCAAAAAAAAAAAAAAAAAAAAAACCCACAAATAACCCAATCAATAAATGGGCTAAGGAACTGAAAAGACACTTCACAAAAGAATAAATACAATCAATCAACAAACATGGAAAAAATGTTCATCGTCTGTTAGAGAAATGCAAATCAAACTACTCTAGATTTCATCTCACTCTTGTCAGAATGGCAATCATCAAGAATACAAGTAATAATAAATGTTGGTGATGATATGGGGAAAAAGGTACACTCATACATTGCTGGTAGGACTGCAAATTAGTGCAACCACTTTGGAAAGCAGTATGGAAATTCCTTAGAAAACTTAGAATGGAACCACCATTTGACCCAGCTATTCCACTCCTCAGTTTATACCCAAAGGACTTAAAATCAGCATACTATAGTGATGCAGCCACCTCAATGTTTATAGCAGCTCAATTCACAATAGCTAAACTGGGGAACCAACCTTAATGACCTTCAACAGAAGAATGGATAAAGAAAATGTGGTACCTATGAACAGTAGAATATTACTCAGCCTTAAAGAAGAATGAAATTATAGCCTTTGCAGCTAAATGGATGGAACTAGAGAACATCATGCTAAGTGAAAAAAAATCAATGCCAAAGAACCAAAGGCCTAATCTTTTCTCTGATAAATGGATGCCATAGTGTGTGTGTGTGGCAGGGGGTGGTAGGGAAGAATGAAGGAACTCTAGTTTGTGTAGAGGGGAGTGAGGGGAGAGGTGGGGCTGTGGGAATGGGAAAGATGGTAGAACGAACCAGGCATTATTTATTACATGTATGATTATTACACCACTGGTGTGACTCTGGCACCATGTACAGCCAGAGAAATGAAAAATTGTGCTCCAGTTGTGTACAATGTGTCAAAATGCATTCTCCTGTCATGTGTAACTAATTAGAACAAATTAAAAAAAAAAATAGAAGGGAAACCAGTTAGAGTAGAAGGTGGAAAACAGGGGGAAGAAAGGGTAGGAAAGTGAAGGTACTTGGAAATGAATTTGATCAAATTGTACTGTTTTATTGTGTGCACATATATTATAGCAAATTCCACTGTTACGTATAATTATAATGTACCAATAAAAAGGGGAGGGAAAAATACACGAAGACCACTCCAGCTATCTCAGGAGCCTTTAAACTGAGGTATGTGGAAGCAGTGGCTGAAAGGAGATGAGTTTATGTAGGAGGAGAGAATTGATTTTTGTCTTAAAAGAACCATTCTGGCTAATATTCTGAGGAAATGGCTCAGATTGAGATCATGCAGATTTGGTTTTAGAATTGTGCTTTGGTGTGTTCTAGTTCTGTGACCTTGATCAATTTAGAACAATATGGAATATAAATAGAACATCTTTATGTCATATTTCCTTATTTATAAAATAAGAATTTTGCTATCTTTCCTCATGATAAGACCATGTACGTGAAAACATCTTGAAGTGTGAGAGTGTTTAGTATTCCACCTGCCCCTCTATACTAAGTAGATGATCCAGTAATATTGTGTTGAGAAACTGATGTAAGCATTATGAACTGCTGCATATTTATACAGCAAACAGAAAAGAATAATTTTATTCTTAAAAGTGGACTGTTGAAAACTCAAAATTCTCAAGAGCTAAAGAAAAGTTGACTGCTATGTACTATTAAGTAAAATGGGGGGGACAGGGGTAGGAAAGTGGGGGAGGGGGACAGAGAAGTACCTACAATATTCTTTAAGCCCCATAAAAGATTAATACCTACTTTGTATTCTCCTTGCTCTCTCTGTCCTGGGAGAGGCCTTCACTTTCTTAAGTATGGAATAGTTATAAAATCATCTACATTAGTGGGGGTGGAAGGAAGTTCAGGCTGACCCTGCAACTGGACTGATGGGAAAAGAAATCTGTCTGGATCTCATGTTCTCTACCATGAGGGTTTTATTGAAAAAAGAAAATTTGGAATATTGAGAGAGTAAGGGGGAAGACAGAGGACAAAGAATGGGTAAGGCATGAATAGAAAAGATATTTGAGCATCCTGTCTGATGCTCAGGCAGAAGCAGATGTGATAAGTCGTTGATGCTATAGTGATATAATATAAATTGAGCCAAGTACGATGGTAAAGGCTTTTTGCTGCCTGAGTCAGAGCAAAAAGCAGAGGCCCCGTCTTCTAGATCTTGTTGCAGAAAGGTTGATTCCGACAGCATATAATTTGCATCCTCGTTCCATGAGAGAAAAGGTTCATAGATGGGCACATGTTCTCACACCCTTGAACCATGAATTGGAGTTTTCCACCTGAAAGGAGTAAAGACAGACTGGAATTAACAGAAACCTTCCTTTATTCATGATGCCCTCATGAAGGGCTGGCTACCACCCCTGTGTGTGTATTTTTCTCCCCTTTCCCTTCTATCTTCGTCCTCTGGGATCTTTCACCATCAGTTGCACACTTCTTGTATTTTCAGTTTGTTCCTCTCTCCTGATTACCTTTCTGGTTTACAAACATGCTCAAGTTTCCCCAACTCAAAAAGATAAAACAAAGAAATCTTTCTCTTGACCATGCTACTCTCCTATACTATCATTTCCCCACAAACTTCTCCAAAGAGTTGACTGTCGTCAACCTAATCCTGCTTATATCTGGCCCCAAGACACTCTGATTCATTACTCCACTATTCTGAAAGGGTACTTGAGTTCTAGTCATTCTGCTGCCCTTCTCAGGACTTGACCTCTCTGCATTTACATAGTGCTGATGACTTCTTTCTCTCTCTTTTTGAACTGCATAATCTCATTTGTTTATGCAAAAAAAAAAAAAGTTGAATACATAGATGCCAAGAGTTGAATAGTGGTTACCAGGAACAAGGAGTGGGAGTGTTGGGACTTGAGGTAGAAAAGGGGAGATAATAGATCAAAGTGTAAAAAGTTGAAGTTATGTTAGTGAATAAGTCTACAGATCTAATATACAATATGCTGACTGTAGTTAATATTGTAGTATGCAACCTAGATGTCCTTCAATAAATGAACAGATAAAGAAACTGTGGTATATATACCGATGGAATATTACTCAGCATTAAAAGAGATTAAAATTTGCAGGTAAATGAGTAGAGTTGGAGAATATCAGGCTAAGCGAAGTAATCCAATCCCCAAAAACCAAAGGCTGAATGTTCTCTCTGATAAGTGGGATATTGATCCATAACGGGGGAGATGGGTGGAATGGGGAAAATGGAGGAACTTTGATTGGGCAAAGGGGAGGGAGGGGGAATGGGCGTAGGAAAGATGGTGGAATGAGATGGATATTATTACCCTAGGTACATGTATGACTGCACATATGGTGCGACGCTACATCGTGTATAACCAGGGAAATGAAAAGTTTTGCTGCAATGGTGTATAATGAATCAAAATGTATTCTGCTGTTATATATACCTAGTTAAATAAATTAATTAGAAAAATATAATAGTATGTACTAGAAATTTGCTAAGGCTGTATAGATTTCAGGTGCTCTTAGAGCAACACAAAAAGTAACTATGTAAGGATGAAGTATAATGCATGTGCCATAAATTTATCCTTTTAAAATTAATAACACAATATTGTTTAGTATATTCACAGAATTCAAGCATCATCACTAATTTTAGGATATTTTTATCACCCCCAAAAGACATTCCATTCCCATTAGCAGTTACTTCACTGGCCCACATCTTACAAGCTTTTTCTGAAAACTACTTTCTCCCTAATTTCTCTGCACCTCTAATCTCTCCTTCCCCTGTGAGCACCCATTGCTTTTCTGCCTTAAGATATTTACCAATTGTTCCTTTGCAATATTGTTTCCTGTTTCTTACATTGGGCCATAATCTATTTGTACATAGTCTATATTTGATTCATTTTTCTGTAAGGACCCATGGTATGTGTCATTAATGTTTCTTAAGTGATGGTGGATGAATGCACACATTGTAGAATTGTGGGCAAAATGGTATTTCTAATGAGAGACCAGACAACTGACAGAGTTAGGCAATGATCATGGAATGGAAGTATCCAAGATCTCATTTTGGGGATAAGGAGTGAGTTTAAGGGTAGAGAGATGTGGGAATATATTTAGTTTTGGCAACCTGTGGACATAGATTTGTAGACAAAAGTTTATTAAATTTATTCATATAGTATTCGCTAAATGCCTGCCATGTGCTGAACATTGTACTATGTTCAAGGAACATAAGCCATGAAAAAAACAAACCATAGTCCTGAGCTTACAGTCAATGTCTCAGTGGTCTAAAGGGCAATACACAACATTTCTTTAAAATAGAAAGAGTGCCAATCTCCCTGCCTCCTTTTAAGATCATTAAGACCTGTTGGGGAGAGTCTCTACCTCCCCATCAGTACTTGGGATTCTATTCTGAATCCTTAAAAGCATGAGGTTCTTCTGAATCTCCAAGTTCCTGATCCCTCTCCTAGACCACTGCCCTCTCCAACTGCCCGGTATTAGTATATAAGTTGGTTAATGTATTCTCTGGCAAAGACTGCCTTTAGAGGTCCCTACATACCTTCAAAGATCTTCTTTAGCATGCACTGCTGGGAATTCTGAGTGGTGCAGACTCCTTCACCACGAAGGCATTTTCCTTGCTCAGTCATATAAGCGCATGTGTAGCAACTTAACATTGTGCCTGAAATTTTAAGATAAGCCTGATGAAATTCCCATACAGATCAGATGTGTATATGTGAGTCACACATCTGGGGAGAGACGATGAGTTATAAGTAGCCTGGATAAAAAATTAATTTCTTAATTCTTGTTGGGATCTGAGGGATTTGTGTTTGATAGAGGATATTCTCTATTCTAGAGGAAATTCCTTTCATTCGTATTGCTTCATCTATGACCTTCATTGCTGATGAATCCCAAGTTTATCTAATACTGACTTTTACTATAGTCCATATCTTTATTGGCTTCCTAGATATTTATAATTAGATGCCTTTTTGTCATGTCTTACCTGATAGGAGCATGTTGTCACGTGACTGGCTCCCTTTCCTGCTTCTTATCATACTCTCACAAAGCACAAACATTTGGATTCAAATTTGACCAACTAATAAGCTATTTTAGAGTATTGTTGCAAACCTTGTAAAGAGTCTACGTTATTTTCCATTTTCAAATTGGCCTTGTTCTTCTTTTCTTTTTAAATTTATTTTAAAATATTTTTTTTAGCTGTAAATGGACACAATAACTTTTATTTATTTATTTTATGTGTTGCTGAAGATCAAACCCATTGTTACAACCCCATCCTCTCAAATTGACCTTGTTAAAGGTTGCTGAAATATTTCCATGTTACCTCTTTTCATTGTCTCTGTTTATAATCTCCTAGTTCAGGAAGCATAAAGTAAGGAAAGGGGGAAAAAATTGTGCTTTAAACAGACCTAAAGTGTGTGTGTATTTGCAATATGGAGGTTGAATTCAGGGACCCTCAACCACTGAACTAATTATCTCCAGCCCTTTTTATTTTATTTTGAGATAGAGTACTTTTGCTAAGTTGTCCCAGCTGGCCTCAACCTGGGGATCCTCCTACCTGGCCCTCCTGAGTTGTAGATAGGCCTAAGTTTGAATCCACCATTACCAATTTCTAGCCATGTAACTTTGGGCATATTATTTTTACCTTGCTTCTCCCATCTGAAAATTTAGAATAATAATGCTTATGCAATGGGGTGAAATATGAGGCATTTTATGTCTGTTATTAACTTGAGGCATCAAACTTAGGGTCTTATTTTTCTTCCTTGACCAACCCCTTTTAAGTAAGTCACAGAATTGCAGTTCTGGGAACTAATTTTTGTCTCTAACAGAACTAATTTTTGTCTCTGCATGCTTCATATTCTGTTAGTCTTTAGAACTTTGCATTTTCATGAGCTGCTTCTAGGGGAGTCATTGGGCATTTATATTCAGAATATCTTATGGAGAATGTAATTGGAAGGGTAACTGGCATTTTGTATTTGTATAATTGTTCTTAAAGAGGGTCCTGCAAATTGTGTGACTTTCAGGCCCCAGAAACCTGGAACAGCCTTTTGGTATTGTGCAGAGACCTAGAAAACCTTTGGGAGAGCTATTTGTGAAGTGTTAATGGTTGCTTCTTTAATACTTCTTCCCTAAAATTGGGTTCTCCTGATGTGTTCCCCACTCCCCACTTGAAGCTACTTTGGCTCACCTGGAGATGTGCTTGCAAATGGTGTACTTGAAAGCTGTTCAGCTGAAGACGGTTCACCTGAGGACTTTTCACCTGCAGACACTTCACCTGAAGGTGCTTCACCTGAAGTGTGCTCAGTGGCAATATGTTCACGTGTCATCTGTTCGCTGGAAATATGTTCACGTGAAACCTGTTCACCTGAACCATGTTCTCCTGAAGGCTGCTCTCCCGAAGTCTGCTCTCCCGAAGGCTGTTCTCCCGAAGGCTGTTCTCCCGAAGGCTGCTCTCCCGAAGGCTGTTCTCCCGAAGGCTGCTCTCCCGAAGGCTGTTCTCCTACAGGTTGTTCTCCTGCAGGTTGTTCTCCTGAAGGCTGTTCACTTGAAGTGTGTTCACCTGAAGGCTGTTCACCTGAAGGCTGTTCACTGGAAGCAGGTTCACCTGATGACATTTCACCTGAAGGCTGTTCACCTGAAGTGTGCTCGTTTACATGTTCACTTGCATGCTCGCTCTCAGCATGTTCACCAGAAGTGTGCTCCCCTTCACTATGCTCGCTGGAACCATGCTCACTTAAAACAGTCTCACCTGAAGAAGTATCATATAAAGCATCAACATCTGAAGGGTTTGCAAGTGAAAAGTATTCACTTGAAAGTTGCTGAACTGGAGCTTGATGATCCATTGAGCCCAGGGGCTCATCAGGCTGATCTGGTGCTCCTGGGATGGAGAAGAAACAGAAGAGAAATGGAGAAGGTGAGAGTGGGGTAGAGGTTACTTTTCCATGTTTTGAGACAAATGGAGACTCCTAAGTTTCTTGTAGGTCTAAATCAGTTACTTGAAGATAGTTGACTTCCCCCCAACACCTGCACTAATTACCCCAAGAGACCAGGGAGGATGGAGGTATTTAATAAAAACACAGAAACCTCCTCTGGAATTAAAGGAAAAAATTTTAAGGTATATTAAGAACTCCATGGGGGTGGGGGTATTCACTCATCCATGCATCAAAAGCACCTGAAGGAGCCAGGCACGGTGGCAAATGCCTGTAATCCCAGCAGCTCAGGAGGCTGAGGCAGGAGGATCCCAAGTTCAAAGCCAGCCTCAGCAAAAGCGAGGCACCAAGTACAAAATAGGGCTGAGGACATGGTTCAGTGGCCAAGTGTCCCTGAGTTCAATCCCCGGTACCCAAAATTAAAAACAAAAAAAGGTAAGATTTGATTTGATAAGGCTTTTGGTAGATTTTTGTTTTAAAAATTTGTTACATAAATATCTGCTCAGCTGATTCTTTAATACTTAACAAAATTTTTAAATAAGAGATGCTTCTGATAATAGGAAACAGGTTTGGAAAATATGCTAATTTTTTAATCATTCTTAGAGTTTATAGTTTATTACTTCACTACGTGACTAGCACATAGCTACCATCTCGTGACTGGGTATCTTTGTTTCTGAGTCAACTTTGTGAAAGTCTAAAAGGCAAAAAGCAACATTTCTGAAAGCTAGTGTTAGAGAAAACACTCTGTCACTTCACAAACAGCACAGAGCTCATAAATCTCTCTCTTGTAGGAGGCAGCCCTCCATAAATAGGGAATCCTGAAAGAGAAAATACAGAAACTGGATGGATGAACATAGCCATGAAGGAAAGGCTTATAAGGTTTCTGGCCCAAAGCCCTGTGTGTTCTGAGATAGTTTTCTGGGCACATCACCTTCCTATCTCATTATAGCTTTGCTTGGCACCTTAAGTATACAAGGATCCCTTGCACTCAATTGATGGGAACAAACCTTTGCTGAACTTCTGCTGAGCTCCTAGGCCTGTTCTTCTGTCTCACAGAACATCAGGCACAAATGTTGAATGGCTAAATGAAATAGGAATAGGAACATGCCCTCTGACTATAAAGCCATAACTAGGAGAAATCAACTGGTTCAGGAGCTCTCAGAGATAGTCTAATTACTCTTAATTCTGATTTGGGTAACTAGGAGACTGGTCTTACTTCTTCAAGGGCAAAAACGCCTTAAAGGTGGCCCCTTACATACCCAAGCTAACAGAGAAGACTCACCTCTAACAGATCCAAGCAGATGAAAACTCATTAGTAAGATTAACTGGTTCATCTGGATTTAGAAAAAGAAGGGCCTCTAGTGTGGGGCACCCAAGAGCTGTAAAGAAACTGTGAGCAGGAGCTCCCAATACTGAATCAGAGCTTCTGGGAATTCTAGAACCTCAGGAACAACCCATGATTCCTCACAATGGGTTGTGCTCTGAGGTCCTCATGTGGCCTGTCTAGGCAAGTTGACCCTTAATAATTCAAGGAAATTTCCACTAGTGAAGCCTAGTGAGTATTTTTTATGTTGGGGTTATCTGCCCTATCTTAAAAAAGAAAAAAGTATTACCAAAATACATATATTCTTTGTAATAAATTTTTAAAAAATGTCTCTCTTAAGTATTCTTGACAATGAGGTGTGGTGGGCTGCTTATTTTCTGTTTGATTCTCTAAATCAGCCTTTCTTGCCCTGATTTGTACCCCAGGAGGCTCATCTCTGTTGACTTCATTACTTGAGTACTGGTTGGGATTTTCTTCATATTGAATTTAACCAATGGAAGATTGGAGGGGAGAAAGGGAAGGAAGTAGAGAAAGAGGACTATTTTTTTCTATTTTTTCTTGCCACAGTGGTGTTTTCAACCAGCCTATAGTAACATGTTTTCCTTTTACTGACCCCTTCTGCCTTGGGATAATAATGATTTACACTGTTGCTGAAACCTGGATGCTCCACTTTTTTTTTTTTTTTTTTATCCCCACTTACTAGTGTAAATAGTCTTTTCATATAGACCTATTTCAGTCATAGTTTTGGCAGGAAGCAAATTGAAACTCAAATAGGTAACTGAGGAGAGTTTACACAGAAAGGGGGAGAATAAAGGGATCAGCAAGGGATAATTGAAAGCCATATCTTGATCTGTAACTTCTGTCAAGGAGGTAGCCAAGCTGAGAATATGAGTGCAGTGAGGTGTCCACCTGGTATAAAGCTGGAATTCTGGAGTGAGTGGAGGGAGGGTGTGGCAGAACTCCTCTTAACTCCCATCTCCTGCTTCTTCTCTTCCCAGTTCTCTTGAACCACTTTGTCTCACCTGAGGCCCATGCAGGCAGTGGAAATGGTGTTCCCCTTGGTAGAATGGGCTGGCTGAGAAATAAAAGCTAGGAAAAATAGAATGATGAAAACACCACTGGACACAGAAAGTAGTTTCAAAAGCGGGGGCAGGACAGGCAAGCGGATCAGATGGATCGAGCTTCTAGACTCTGGCAAATTGGAGCCCTTGCCTGCTTTTTTTGTATCGGGAAACATCAAAGGCCTTCCATAGACTGTTCTTCACCAAAAAAGATTAAAGTTGGGGCTGTTCAGTTTCCCACAGGTTATGCCAGTCTCTGGAGCTACTATGAGGGATTTTCCTAGTAGAGCAGAGATAAAGGTCAGGTACATTGGGCAATCTATTGTCCTGGGAGAGCATTGGATAATTTGCAATGCCAAACCTAAATCTTCCTGGCTGCCATACTGAGTGAAGATCCTCAAGTCATTCATGGATGGCTTCCCGCAACTTTGTTATATGTGCCATTGAATATTGGTCCTAGAATAGATATATGTATCACTACTGTAATTATTTGTTTAATGTTTGTCTTCCCTTATGAGTCTAAACCCCTGGAAACCAAGGACACTGTCTCAATCACTGCTGTAGCTCCAGTACCTGGCAGCATGCTTTCACATCATAGTAACTTAATGATTCTTATTTTTTTCTGAATGAAGGGATGATTGAATTGCCTGAATATTAAATTGTCTGAATATTAAATGGGATGATCTCCTGGTTCCATTCTCTTCACAGCTCCTTGAATACTGATAGTCGAATTCTAACAACTCCTATACACTTAGGCAAGAGATCAGTACATTCTTTCCTGGAGAAATTGGATGGTTCCAAAGGAAAGATCCTACAGGTTTGGGTACCTGAATATGCTAAAATGAAACATTAGTTCCTGATGAGCCCACACATGTCTGGGGGCCAATTTAGGACATCTAATATGAATACATGGTCAAGGATTACCAGACATTTTAGAAAAGCCTCTGATCTGAAAAGCCAAAATGGATAGAAGTATCACTGTGGCCCTAGAAACTAGAAGCAGATGAAAATCTTTATATATTTTTAGTAATATGATTTCCCACTACAAGGTACAAAGAGAAACTCTTAAAAGTTTAAAGAAAGAAAAATAGTATCTATGGAAAGAATCAGGAAAAAGTAACAGCTCTATATTTCTTAAAACGTCACATAGGAAAGTTTTAAAAAAATGAAATTTAAAAAAAATGAGTAAAATTATTCAACCCAAGCATTTCTTTACTCAGTTTAAATTGAGAATAGAATAGAGATCTTTTCAGAAAACCAAAGTCTCAAAACAAATGAATTCCTGTATTAGATAGAAGTGATCTCCTACAAATAATGGGATACCAGTCCTTTGAAAGGATTCATGTGATCACAATAAGGGTTTGTTCTCTCACATTGTAAGTCTGAAGGTAGCCAGTTTCTTACAAAGGGTCAGACATCTCAATGTCAAAGACAACTTTCTGAAACTCTTTTGCCCCTTCCCTTGTTCTTTTTGTTCATAGTCACAAGATGGCAGCCTAATCTCAGGCATCACATCCAGATGCCATCAAGGTGGTAGATGTGTAATAATTTTTCTATCATTGTGTTACAAATTACCAAAAAATTAGCAGCTTAAAACAATGCTCACTTTTTTTCTAGTTCTAAGACTCATCTGGATTCTCTGGCTAATGAGTCAGAAGCCAAAATTAAGATGTCTTCAGGTCTGACTGGTTCTTACCTAAAGATTCTGGGGAAGAATCTTCTTTCTTTCTTTTTTTTTCTTTCTTTCTTTCTTTTTTTTTTTTTTTTTTGTACTGCTATTGAAACCAGGGGTGTTCTGCCACTGAGCTAAATCTGAGCCCTTTTTTATTTCGAGTCAGTGTTTTGCTAAATTGCCAATTCTGAGTTTGGGACTCTCCTATCTCAGACTTCAGAGTCTGGCATTATAGGCATGCACCACCATGCATGGCTAGGGAGAAGAATCTACTTCTAAAATCATTCAGATTGTTGGCAGAATTTATGTCCTTGGACCTGTAGGCCTAAGTCCCTATTTTTTTGTTTTTGTTTGTGCTTTTTGCTGACTGATAGCCTCAGGTTTCTCTCAGCCTTTGGAGACCATTCATATTGCTTCTCCTTTGACTTTTCCATCTTCAAAGTTAGAAAATTTTAATCTTTGATTTATTTTTAAAATTTTTTTTAGTTGTAGATGGACATAATACCTTTATTTTATTTATTTATTTTTATGTGGTGCTGAGGATTGAACCCAATGCCTCACACATGCCAGATTAGTTCACTACCATAGAGCCACAACCCCAGCCGCTAATCTTCAATTTCTCCTTTTGCCATCATCTTAAGAACTGTCTGCTTTGAAAGGGTTCATGTGATCACATTAAGCCCCACAGATAATCTTCCCCTCACATAATAATGAGAGTAATGTCATATTTGCTGCTTCCACCAACACCACAGGGATGGATGGTACATGGATAAGTCTTTTTAGGGTTATTCTTAGAATTTTGCTTATCTCAGAGTCAGTATGCATACCTTTTGTCAGGTAAGTTTTTTTCCCACAGAAACAGCCTCACTTTCTGTTCCTTAGGTCACCTCACAGTTTTGATGATTTTCTAGAATGACTTAAAGAATTCAGGAAGTGAATGACCAGTTTATTATAAAGGATATAACTCAGGGAACACCCAATGGAAGAGACATAGGGCAGGGTCTGGGGTGGCCACACAGGCTTCCATTCTTTCATTCTCTCTCTGATTATGCCACTTTCCCCACACATAAATGTGTTCACCAATCCAAATGGTCCCCAAGTCCTATCATTTAGGGAGTTTTTCTTTTTTAAATTCTCTTTGCAGTTTTATTAAGTAGAGAAATATTCTTTGATTTCTAATTTCATGACAAATAACACATAAACAATTAACTAAATTTTTGTTGAAACTTGAATAATGCAGGGATTTAGTTAGGCTGTTAAATGGAAATATTAGAGATATCAGAGCTCCTATCTATGGAAATGACCATTGATGGAAAGATAGACTTTAAACAGTGTACATTACCATACATCTAATTTTTCATCATTTCAAGCAGCTGTCAGTTATATGACATAAAGCCCTTTAAAATAGATATACATCTAGTAAATACAAATTATCACATTTGAGAGCAATGAATAGTTAATCATAAGTGAATGAATGGTTCAAATATCTCTTCTCAGAGAGACTCATGCCTAAGATGGATGAATTAAAATAGTGATAACTTATAAGAATGAGCTTGGAAAGATGGGTATGGGTGTTGGGTATAGTGGCTGGGATCTGGGAGAGGGCTTCAGACCTTAATTAGCATGATACATACATATGGATATTACTTAATCATCTGAAATTTAGAGAAACCAGGACAAGTTTAATAGAGGAACTCCTACTTCATTTGCCTCCTACAACTTGCTCAATGGAATCCCTTCCTGACCTTCTAGGAGTGTAGACTGAGACCACTGGTCGTTCTGCACCCAAAATCTTCTGGAAGTCTGTGACAAGGAGAGCTTTCTCTCTGTAATTTGTGCTGATTTGGAGCCAGACTAGCTGGAGAGAAGGAAAAAAATTGAAGGAGCATAAAGTTTTTCCAGTGTAGATTCCTCCACTAGTTCCATCCCCACTATGATGACTTTTCCTGGCACTAAGTTACAACAGAAAGGGCATTATTCAGATTTCAACTCTGCTGGTTCTGGTTGTATGACCTCTGTAAGAGATTTTCCCTCTCTGAGCCTGAGTGCCCTTGTTTGTAGAATGAGGCTGATCTCCGTTCCTCTTGCTCAGGCTTCTGAGGAGTAAATGGAGCAGTGCAGGGGAACACAGCACAACGTCTGGCATGTGGTAGGCTCTTGTAAAGAGTAGTCATTAAGCATTAAGCTTCTGCTTCCCTTTAGGGTTTAAATTCTGTTAATACTATAATAAATATTTAATTTGTTTACCTGACACTTTACAGTTTGTTAACATTGTGA